AAGAAGACAAAATAGATGATTGGGATGTTCTAAAAATTAGAAACTTATGTGCATCAAAGGATTTCACAAAAGTGTAAAGGGAGCCTACAGAATGGGAAAAAATCTTTTGCAATGACATATCAGACAAGGGACGAATTTCTAAAATTTATAGGAAACTATAATACCTGTACAAGAAAAAGACAAGTAACCCAGTTAAAAACTGGGCACAGGACATGAACAGACACTTCACCAAAGAAGACATTCGGGCAGCCAACAAACATATGAAGAAATGTTCATGATCATTAGCCATTGTTGTTAAGTGCCGTTGAGTTGGTTCTGACCCAAAGCGACCCTGTATAGGGTTTCTGAGGAGCAGCTAGGTGGTGAGCTTGAATCTCTGATCTTGCAGTTCAAATGGCTTTGCAGTCTGGTGCATTAACCCACAGTGCCACACCAGAACTCCATTAGTCATTTGTTGTTGTTGTTAAGTGCCGTGGAGTCGTTTCTGACCCATAGCGACCCTGAACAGAGTTTCCAAGGCTGTAAATCTTTACGAGAGCAGAAAGCCTCATCTTTCTCCCGTGGAACGGCTGGTAGTTTTGAACTGCTGACCTTGTGGTTTGCAGCCCAATTCATAACCACTATGCTACCAGAGCTCCTTCCACATATGAGGTGATTGAAAATACCATGGGTTGGGTCAGGCACACCATCATTTTCAAACTGCTATCTTTGCTCTTGAGCATTTTAAAGAGCTCTTGTGCAGCAGATTTGCCTAATGCAATCATTTGATTTCTTGACTGTTGCTTCCATGAGTGTTGACAGTGGATTCAAACAAAATGAAGTGTTTGACAACATGAGTCAGAACCAGCTTGATGGCATTTAGTAATATATTGAAATATTTATAATAACAAGTGCATAAAATTCAATGGCCACTACAGCTGAGTGGGATGGGGAGAGAAGAATTTATCACTTCAGGTGTTTATAGTTTAGGGAAAAACTTGGAAATGGATAATGGTCATGGTTGTATAACAAGTTAAAAATTATTAATATCAGTAGATTGTATACATAAAAATGGTTAAATGGCAAATATTTTGTTATTTATAGTTTACCCAAAAAATGTTGAAATTACAATGCACCCAGGATGCTGGGGCAGAAACAGGAGGTCATTACTGTGACTAGAAGCTTCTCAGACCGCTTCTTGTGTTCTTTGTACTGACATCATTAGAACTGCTCTGTGCCCAGCTTTCTGGAGTTTAGTCAGGGTTATGATCACCCTCAAAACTTCCTCCTGCTTTGAAACAGGAGCCTTCTTAGTTGGACAGTTCTGTAGGTATATTTGGCAAGTGCAATTTGTATCATTAAAAAAAATTTTTTTTAGCCATAAATTCTACATAGAAGTTCTGAAAGGCTAGAAAAAGAATGAAAGAAATACATCTTCAACTTTAGGTTTTCTTCTACAGTATTTGTTGTTGTTAAGTGCTATCAAGTCAGTTCTGACTCATAGTGACCTTATAAGGTTTCAGAGGAGCAGCTGGTGAATTTTAACCTCCAATCTTTTGGTCAGCAGTCCAGTGCTTATCTTATAGCACCACACTAGGACTCCTTGACAGTATTTGTTGTTAAGTGCCATTGAGTTGATTCCGACTCATAGCTACCCTGTGCAGGGTTTCCAAGGCTGTAAATCTTGCTGGGGCAGAAAGCCTCATCTTTCTCCCATGGAACAGCTGGTAGTTTCGAACTGCTGGCCATAAGATTAGCAGCCTGATTAGTAACCACTACGCTGCCAGAGCGCCTTAGTCCCTTAGACCCTTATTACAGGTCTCCAATTTTAATTCCTTCCTTTTTGGTGGGAGCAGGGGCAGTGATGGCTCAGGGGTAGAATTCTCACCTTCGATGTCGGAGACCCAGCTTCAATTCCCTACCAATGTACTTCATGCACAACCACCTCCCACTCATCAGCCAGTGGAGACTTGCATGTTGGTAGGATAATGAAGAAGATTCAGCAGAGCTTCTAGACTAAGACAGACTAGGAAGAAAGGTCTGGCAATCTCTGTCTGAAAATTAGCCAATGAAAACCCTGTGGAACACAGTGGTCTAATTCACATCGAGTCATGGGGATGTCACAGGACGAGGGAGCGTTTTGTTCTGTTGTGCACAGGAGCACCATGAGTCAGGGGCCATCTCCATGGCAGCTAACAACTACCAGTTTTTGGTGAGAATGAAGTTGTGACCAGCTAACTAAAAGAAGGAAGTAAAATACTAGTGATGAACATCTCATCTTTCTCTTATAGGTGGGTTTGAACTGTCGACCATGTGGTTAGCCGTCCAGTGCTTACTCTACAGCACCACTAGTGTGCCAAAAAAGACTGCAGTCTAGGAAAGCCTGTGGGGCAGTTCTACCCTGTCCTATAGAGAGAGCCGTTATGAGTCAGCATTAAGTCAAAGGCAATCAGTTTTTTAGTTAGTTTAACTAGTGCTGTTGTCAAACTAAAATATAAGTGGGTTGTTTTAAACAACATACATTTATTTTCTTACAGTTCTGGAGGCTAAAAGTCCAAATTAGATCTTGGCCGTGTTGATTCCTTCTTGGTTGGTTTTAAGCATAACTCTTGACTATAAGAATCAACACCATAAGGAGCAACTATTGGTCTCTCCTTGTCCAGAAGAATGAAGAGTGATGAAAATTGAAGACGTTTGGAATCAATTAGTCTAATGGACCAATGGAACACATGAACATCAGTCTCTACGACGCTGAGACCAAAAGAACTAGATGGTACCTGTATACCAATACCAACTACTCTGAAAGGGATCACATTAGAAGATTCTGGATACAGTGGGGAAAAACATGGAACAAAACTCAAACGCATAAAAAAAGAAAAGGCTTATTGGTCAGATACAGACATGTGGAACTTCTTGAGACGCTTATTCACTCCCCATTCCCAGGGCACTTTCAATATTCTTCTCCAACACCATAACTCAAAAGCATCAATTCTTCTATGGTCTTCTTTATTCACTGTCACAAACAGATCTGTGTTGGAAGAGGTACAGCTGGAATGATCCTTGGAGGCCAGGATGGCCAAACTTCGTTTCTCATACTTCGGACATGTTGTCAGGAGAGACCAGTCTCTGGAGACGGACATCATGTTTGGTAAGGTGGAGGGTCAGAGAAAAAGAGAGAGTCTCCTAGTGAGATGGATTGGCCAGGTGGCAGCAACAATGGGCTCAAACATGGCAGCAATTGTGAGGTTGGTCCGGGACTGGGCAGTGTTTCTTTTTGTTGTGCATGGTGTTGCTATGAGGTCGGTACTGACTTGATGGCACCTAACAACAACAACAACAACTACCCCCCCCCGCAAAAAAAACAACAACTCCAAACCAGTTGCCATTGATTCTGTTTCATGGTGGTGACCTCTATGCACACAAAACTCTATGGGGTTTCAAGGTTGTGATCTTCTGGAAGCAGCTTGCCAGGGTGGATGTGGATTTAAATATTCAGCATTTTGATTAGCAGTTGAGCACTTCACCATTCCCACCAGCCAGGGACTCCTTAAATGGGGAGTAGATTTCACGAATTTCTTTCTTGTCACAGGACTAACCTTTGGAGGTCCCTCCCTTGCAGCATGGAGTCCTGGTGTGGCGCTGTGGGTTAATGTGCCAGACTGCAAAGCCATTTGAACTACAAGGTTGGCAGTTCAAGCTCACCAGTCGCTCCTTGGAAACCCTGTACAGGGTCGCTATGGGTCTGATCCAACTCGACAGCACTTGACAACAATGACAACCCTTCTTGCAGCATAAGACTGAAAATCATTTTTAAATACTTAACTACAGAATGAGTGTAAGTAAGGCCAACAAAATTCTGAATGTTTCCCCTCAAGATGTTTCATTTAAAAAATGTCAAACTATTTCAAAAGGGTTTTTCCTTAGTGTCTTTGATAAACCTTTCTTGGGCAATCAGGCAGAGAGGAAGCAACATTTTTTGCGGAGCTAAGGTTACAGTGTTAAAGTCATACAGTGTTAAAGCCATGGATTGAGTGGCATGTTGGCAGTATTAGTCATTAGCAGTATTAGTCATTCTTAGGTCTTATCTCTCTGTACAGGTGTGGAAACCAAGAGTTCATAGGTTACTAAGGGAGTGGGTTATAAAGCTCAGGGACCTTTTCTTTGGATTTGCTTAGCTTGGGAGCTTCCAGAGGACCATGCACTTAAGTGTCTGCTGATAGTAGACAGGCACTAAGAAATGTCAGTAGAATGAATGGATCCCAAAAGTGGCAAAAGGAACCCTTGCCCAAATCTAGTACCATTAATACATACATATTAGAGTCAAAATTGAATAGCGCACCAGCAGATATTAAACATACACAAATAGAAAAAATAGACTCAGTGATAAAGATCCCTGAGAGCCACAAAAGCTGGCATTCTATACGATGTCGTGCTGACCACTTCTGAGTTCAAGCTGTTGTTCAGATCTGTCTTTCAGTAGTCTGGAAGGATTTTACAGTATCTTGGTTTCTATTCCTCATTATAAATATTTCTGCTTGAAATTAATGATTTCTTAATAGTTGGTCTTTAAATTTAAATAATTAAAACTTGGTCTTTATTTAGTGAGTTGACACTGACTCATGGCAACTCCACGTGTGTCAGAGCAGAACCGTGTCCCATGGGGTTTCCAATGGTTGATTTTTTAGAGGTAGATCACCAGGCATTTCTTTCAAAGTGTCTCTGGGTGAACTTGAACCATCAACCATTTAATGAACTTAGCTATTTGACCTCCCAGAGCATAGAGACTGAAAATGATACTTTCAGTGGCCAATTTTTTTGTTTTGTGTTAAATGAACAAATCCTTTATAAAGCAGCAAGTCACGACATAGAGTATTTTGGCCAAATGAGCCTTTAAAATACAGCTCGTTGGCTGTCTAGAGAGGTCCAATGCCTGAGAGCTCTAGAGTTGGGGTTTGCTCAAGGGACCTTAACCTTGGTTTGGCACACTGGTCGCTCTCAGAGGCAAATGTGAGAGCTGGAGGTCACTGTGTCTGGTGGGCTGTTTCTTCCTCAGAGACTGGCTCGAAGAAGTCCTGCTTGGCCAAGGTTCTGAGCTTGCAGCTGCTACCAGAACTCTGTTTGCTGCTTTGTAAGTCTTCTGTAATAACACTTAATTTGTCGAATACTTCATCTTCATCAGATGGTGGGATGGAGAAAAACTGCAGGGGGCCATGATGAGGGTAGCTCAAAAACTGTGGGAGAAGAAAACATGCAGAATTAATTAAGATATTTTTCCCACTGGCTTTTTTGGACTCACAGAGAGTTTACACATACTAGAAAACATTGTTTTAAAAAATGTGACAATAAATCTGCACCTCATTTTCTAAGTGATTCTAGGTTATCCTCAGATGGTTCCTCTTTTTACACCACGAGGAATAGTTTTCACCCGATCACAATGCTATGGGGCTGACACAGCCAGATGCCATTTCTGGAGTGAGGTGGTCCTCTCTGTGCCCCCTGATTTCATCCTCAGCACCACACTGGCCAGACCAGTGTCCATGAACACATGGTTACTGAGTACTTGAAATACAACTAGTACAATCTAAGCTGTGCTTTAAGTATGAAATACATACTGGATTTCCAAAACTTTGCATAACAATAAGAATATCAGTATTGTGAGACATTAATTATTTATGCTAAAAATTAATTGATGTCACTGTCAAAAAAAGTATTCATTACATGTCGAAGTGATAATATTTTGGGTTGGGTTACATCAGATATTAATCTTATCCATTTCTTTTGACTTTTCTATGAGCAAATGAAAAAAAAGGAAGTAGTTAATTCTTGTTTTTCATGATAGTCATGTCCTACAAAGGAGCTATGATCACTGAAGTAGTAAATACCGAGCCATTACTCCTCATGGAAAGGAGCTCTGGTAGTGTAGTGGTTACGAATTGGGCTGCAAACCTCAAGGTCAGCAGTTCAAAACTACCAGCTGTTCCGTGGGAGAAAGATGAGGCTTTCTGCTCCCGTAAAGATTTACAGTCTCGGAAACCCTGTACAGGGTCGCTATGAGTGGGAACCAACTTCATGGCACATTGCAACAACTCCTCACGGAAATACCAGGCTAGCTTCCATGACTTTGTTTTATGTGCATTTCTGTTTAAAGATACTTAAGATACACTGTTGATTCACTAGCACTGTAACTCATGCCAGAACAAAGCTAATGTAACACATATCTTTTCTTTGTAGGACACATCACAGCCTTCTTGTGCTTATGAACGCTACACAGCAATTCAGCATGATGCTTGGTGGTGGTGGTGGTTATGTGCTGGGGAGTTAGTTCTAACTCATAGTGACCTCGTATACGGTTTCCGAGGCGGTAAATCATATGGGAGCAGAAAACCTTTCTCTCACAGAGTGGCTGGTAGATTCAAACTGCTGACCTTGTAGCAGCCCAGTTGGTGAGTGTAAACAGCCAAAGCACCAACAAAAAGCACAACATGTGAAAAATGTAACATGGAATAGACTGAGAACATGAGTTCATAGCATGAAAGCTGGAACATAAGAAGGCAGAGCATCGTCACACCTTGTTCATACACTTCAGCCGGAAATGTGCACATCGGATGACTCAAAATTTTCACCACTCTGTGCATGTCCATGAATGACCGAGAAAGTGCCAACAGTATTAACTTTGGGACTCCCAATATATTTTAAAGGAGCTCTAGTAGTGTAGTGGTTACCAGTCAGGTTGTTAACCTCAAGGTCAGCAGTTCAAAACTGCCAGAGGTTCCTCGGGAGAAAGATAAGGCTTTCTGCTCCTGTAAAGATTTACAGCTTTGAAAACTCTAATGCAGGCTCACTATGAGTCAGAACTGACTCCACAGCACACTACCACCACCACCAATATGTTTTAGATATTCAAATAGGGAATCATGAATAACGAGGATGAACTGTGTGTGTCACAGGCTCACACGGTGCTGTGTCATGTATGTTGGTTGGCACAGTCATGTCTCTTCCAACAGACTGGGTTTTTCAGGGCAGGGATCATAGTCCAATCATTCTTTTCTCTCCAACGTTCTATTTTTAATTGTAAAAATATGCATACCAAAAATATACCAACTTACCAATTTCTACAAGTGGAATTCAGTGATATTGCTTACATTCTTCAATTGTGTAACCATTCTTGCTAACCTTTTCCAAATTATTCCATCACCAATAACACAAACTAGTGCTGTTTTAACAAAAATACTCCAAGTGGGATGGCTTTAAGAAACAGAAATGTATTCTCTCACGGTTTAAGAAGGCTTGTTGCTGTTAAGTGCCGTTGAGTCAGTTCTGATCCATAGGAAACCTGCATAAGGTTTCCAAGGAGCGGCTGGTGAGCTTGAACCGCCAACCTTGTGATTCAAACTGACTTTGTAGTCCAGAGCATTAACCCGCAGCGCCATATGGTGGTAATGACCTCCTCTCATCTCTGTTCCCTTGATTAATTTTTTAATCTGTTCTCAAAGATTAAAAAATAACTTAATCTGGTAGTTGGATCCTATCTCATTAATTCAACTGCTTCCAATCATGCCTCATTGACATCACAGAGGCTAGGATTTACAAACAACACAAAGGATAACTATATCAGATCACCAAGTGAAAGATAATTATATAACACTGAAAAGCATGGCCTAGCTAAATTGACACATGTTTTGGGGGGACACAAGTCAATCCATAACACCTTGTAAATAAAAATTCTCCTCTCCCCTCCTTCTTACCTCTGGTTGTGATGGTGGTTGTACCATTGAATTATAGTGACCCTCTATGGGGTTTCCAAGGATATAAATCCCTATCGTTCTCACATGGCATGGCTGGTAGACTTGAACTACTGACTTGGTAGTTAGAAGCCCAGCTCAAAATCCACTATACTACCTGGGCTCCTTTTCTACCCCAGCCACTAATAACCTGGGTTCTGTATATGAGGCTTAAGGAGCCCTCATATAGTGGCTTATGAGTTGGGCTGCTAACCACAAGGTCAGCAATTCGACTCACTCTCACAAAGATTTACAACCTTGGAAACCCTAGACATGGTCACTGAGTGGGAACCGACTCCATGACATATCACCACCACCACCATACATTTGCTTACTTCAGGTAAGTGAAATTGTATAACATCCATCCTTTAGTCATATTTAACTTGGCATGTTTTCAAGGCATGCATCATAACTTCATTTCTCTTTATGGCTGAGCAGTATTTTACTGTTCACATTTGTATAGACCACATTTTGCTTGTTCATCTGCAGGTGGACATTTGTCTCTCCAACATTTATTTTTTCCAATTTAGCCCCAAATATCCCTAGTGCCAAGGTTGAGAAAACAAGTTGTAAATAATTCTTTGTGTGTATATGTGTCAGGATAATGCTGGTCTCACAGAATGAGTTAGGAAGTGTTCCCTCCACTTCTATTTTATTATTTTCAATACAATTATTATTTTTTCTACTTTTCTGAGGGTCAGAGCAAGGGGTTAGGCTTATGACAATGGCTAGGATTGGCTTAATGTTAGGGTTAGGGGTAGGAGTAGGGCTCAATTTAGTTTTAGGGTTACAGTTCAGTTTATTTGTATTCATTCTTGAAATTGACTTGATTTCCTTTTCATTTGTAACCAATTACACTATTTCCTCTTTTTACTTTGTGTTTTGTTGTTGCAAACTGGAAACTCTGGTTCCCTGTTTTCAATCTTGTAGATTTGTTCTACTTTGGATATTTCTATATCTGTGCTGAGTTCTGGGTGATGTTGCCATGTATGTTAATCTCAGGTTGTCTGTTGTTGGCTCTCTGTCCAAAAAACCCGCTAGTATTTTTTGTATGGTTGGTCTGGTTTTTCAAAATTCTTTTAATTTCTGTTTATCTGATAATTTCTTAATTTCACTGAATATTTGAGGGACACTTTTGCTGGATATATGATTCTTCGTTGGCAATTTTTTTTTCTTTCAGAGTTTTATATATGTCATTCCACTTTCTTCCTGCCTAAGTGGTTTCTGCTAAGAAATCAGAGCTGAATCATGCCTCCTTTGCAGGCATCTTTTCATTTTTCCTGAGTTGCTCTCAGGATTCTCTCCTTGTCTTTGGTTTTATAGAGTCAAAATGTCTTAAGTGATTTGCTTTTGGAGTCAACTATGTTTGCAGTTTGGTCAACTCAACTTTCATGATATTAGGGAAATCCTCCTCCAATAACTCTTCAATATTCTTCTGTTTATTTGTCTCTTCCTGTGTTCTGGAAGTCTGATCACATGTAATTTATTCCTCCTACTGGTGTCTCACATAATTCTTAGGCTTTCTTTTGATTTTTTTGTTCTTTTTCCCCCCTGATTGCTCCTCTAGCACATATATATTGAAAAGCAGAATACTGAAAGATTTGTCTTCAAACTCACTAATCTGATGTTCCATTGATTCAATTCTGTTTCTCTGTCCCTTCAATATCTTAACTATTTCTGAAATCTTAGTATTAATCTTTTGGATTTCTATCTGCTGCTTTTGTATGGTTTCTAATTTATTTTGTCAGTTTGTTCTTATAATGTTTTCCTGAATCTGTCTAAATTTTTTTCTGTGTTCTTCTTGCTTTCATCTACAGCTTTCTTGATCATTCTCTCAATCAGCTGAAGGTGTCTAAATACCATTCTTTATCAGGTCGTTCTTATACCATTTCTGGTATTGTAGTTTCTGACTCTGTATTTTGGTCGCTTGTTTGAGCCAATCTGTCTTGTGCTTGGTTCCCAGCATAAGCTAAAACTATTCGTGTTCTTGGAGACCTTGTGGTGTTGTAGCATTTATATTTAATTGATGATTGTGTGATGGTGTGTCCTTAGACACTCACCATCTGTCTCTCGGTGGGTATAATAAAGAGACTAGATGTATATACACAACTCTCTGATGTTTGTGTAATGCAGTTCAGGGTGAGTTTGTCTCATGTTGTTGTTGTTGTGCCGTCGAGTTTGTTCCGATTCATTGTGACCCTGTATAGGGTTCCCAAGGAGTGGTGGGTGAACCTGAACTGCCAACCATGCAGTTCAGACTGACCTTGCGGTCCTGCGCATTAACTCACACACACCACACCAATTATTGCTGATCAGGTGGTAGGTACAGGAGTGGATAGTGGCGCCTACCTAGTAGGCGGAGCTGAAGGAGACACAGATGTGGTTAGGCTGTATGGGTACAAATGCTGCCATCCTAAAACAAACAATAGCAACTAAAGATCTAATGAGGT